AGAAAACATTATCAAATTTGCAAATATAAAATGACGTCATATTTAAAGAAAATCATATCATCTCTATTTTTAATGCTAATGATATGATGTATATGTTAAATTAAAGCTTGGAGATTCTAGTTTATGATATGATATAAAAACTATGTGATAATATTAATAAAATTTATTGAAAAAAGGTATTAAAGAAAACATTATCAAATTTGCAAATATAAAATGACGTCATATTTAAAGAAAATCATATCATCTCTATTTTTAATGGTATTGATATGATGTATATGTTAAATGGAAGCTTGGAGATTCTAGTTTATGATATGATATAAAAACTATATGATAATATTAATAAAATTTCCTGAAAAAGAGTATTAAAGAAAACACCGTCAAATTATTGTTTATCACGAACCCCAATATTCAAATTTTGAGCTTTGTTAATCGAACATTCCAAGTTATTTTATATCTTTTCCTTCCACTAGTATTTTTCGCTAGATAGACATTTTCTTCTTTATCTCTATCTTAACTTCGTCATTCCACCAAACAGTTCGTTTCTGTCTCATATTTATTACTTGTATTATTTATGTCTAACCTTGCTTGGTGCTTCAGCTTTACTTGTTTTGTGTGCTTCAAGAGAATTTTATATTCAAAGTAGAAGATTACCTATAAATCTTTTCCCATCCTTGCGTTAAAATCACCAAGTACAACCAAGAAGTTTTTTTGGGTTAACTCTTAGTCTGTTCCAGCATCTTTTGGTGCCGGATTTGGTGTTGTCTAAGAATTTTGACATTCTTTTGCAACTCGCAATATTTTTCTGCACCACTTTCAAATTGAATATGGTAAGTTTATATTTATATACATACGAATATTTACTCGTGCATTGCAGCAATGCACTAATTAACTAATTAAATAAGACGCGACGCGACGTCGTCGAAAGCGCCACTCATTCAGGTTGTTCACCTGAAGCGGCGGCGTGGTCACATCGTAGCTTGAAGGGAACCACACGGTGTGGAATTGGCGAAGGGGGTCCCCCTCCCGCTGGTTTATCTGGACCACGAAGAGGAAAGCCCCCGACCATATATGACTAAGCGGGAAACTGGTGGACGACGACGGGGTCTAAATATAGAACGTGGTGGAGTCGTTCTCGTGACGAGAAACAGTTTGGGACACCAAGATTATTTTAAATGGTAATCGATTCTAAGCTTTTAGCACAAATGGAATTTATTCCATCACGATTGTTAAAGAAATAAACAAAGTTAATGATATAATAGAAGATATCCGATTCATCGTTTTTTATTGAGACTTCAAGTTGAGACCACAGGTGTTCTTTTTTAGATATTTTTCATCTAAAGCTATTATAGCTTTGGAGTAGACTCGTGGAGTTTTTCAAGGCCGATTGAATGCATCGTCTTAAGTTACATAAAAAAAAACTTATCCCAAGCTATAATCATCTGGAATTAGTTCCACAAAAATAGTTGAGTCGCGCACGCGTTCAAAAAGCAAAAAATAACTCCGAGCAAGAATCTAAAGAAGTTTTACGAACGATGATGGTGAAATCGAGGACTTTTTTTGAAACATGAGTATTTAGATATTTATTTTTTTTTTGAACGACGGCTTCCTGTTGGGAATGAATGGAATCGTTGAATTGCTTAGTGTATATGAACAACATCTCGTCGTTTGAGTTTGATAGAGATCTCAAAGCCGCTGGACACACTTGAATTATTCAAGAGTAGTGTTTTGCAGATGTCGTACGCGGTGATTGATACTTCTCTAAAACCCACATAGAAGAGTTAAAAAGATACAAAAAAAAGGGGGAGAGAAACCAAACGCCTTGGGATCAATTTATTTTCTTTCTTTATTATTTCATTTTTAATATTATTATTATTATTTTTAGTCCCATCATTTTAATTAAAGCTCAAATCGCGTTCATCCGTTTAATTAATCAAATTGACTTATAATCAATTAGATAACCAAGTCAAAATGTTAATTGAAAAGAAAAATTACACGTCTTCCTCACTAATTGGATTAAATTTAGATTAATAAGCCGAAATTATTGATAATTAATTAATCAAACTTACATATTCATTTTTGAGGTGGTTCCACTTCGAATAATTAATTAACAAAGTTTTTATCACCCAAATAAGTCTTAATTAGTACACCTCACTCACAAAAAAAATTAATTTTTAAACTTGATAATAAAAAATTGAAATAAACTAACAAGGTATTTTTCTTTTCTAGAATTTTGTCCAGAACCGAACGAGCTGACGTGACGGTTGGAGTACGAATGAGCATGGAATGGAACGTTAACGTTAGGGACGGTGTTCTGTGGGTCTCGAGACCGCGAAACGTGGAGGAGAGTTCTTGCGCTCACGCACGTACACGTTTGGGGGCCGACTTCTTGGTTACCGCCACCACCGAGTCTCTTTGCAGAAGAGGAGAAGAGAAAAACGAACGGGTGGAAAAAAGAAACGGATCCGTATGTACATATACAACGAGGAACATCGTATAGAAGGATAGAGAAGGAGGAGGTGAAGAAGGAGAACGAGGTTCGAAAGAATTTGACCTCTTCTGGTTGAAGATCGGGAAAAGCATCCACCTACGCCAAAGAAATGTGCGAAGAAATGGTAAGAATTTGATACAGAATTTTTTTAATATTGTTATTATTAGTAGTAATATATTTCTGGTATTAGTATTTACAGAAATCAGAAAGATTGTGCTAAAATTTCTTTCAAAGACTTGTTAGATACTTAGGTGATAATGACAATAGTGAAAAAAACATTATAATATTATAATATTCGTAATCTTCATAAAAAATCCTTTAAAATGAGTCCAAACTCGACATATTTAACATTATTATTAATGGAAATACAATCACTTCCGGTTTGAAACGTCAATTTTGACATATTTGTCATCTTCATTAAAATACCTTTAAAATGAGTCCAAACATGACGCACTTATCTCAAAAAACAAAAAAGTTAGAATATTAATACCAACCTTAATTTTTTATTTTTTTATATATTTTTTTAATATTTTTTGATTAAATTCGCTTAGGATATTAAATTTGCTTTAATTTAATACCAAACACGATATATTTCCGGTAAAAATCAAAAATGTTAGGTTAAAAATCAACAAAGATGCCGCCATTTTGTTTTTG